TGAAAAACAAACAGCGAGCAGCGCACACCAGTTAGGGGACCCGTGAACTGTTGACATGTGTTAGAAGTGAGGATGAAGGTGCTTGGAAACACGGCATATGCAGTAAGGGACATGAAGCGAAGATTAAGGTGCTAAAAGGTACGACAGCCAGCATAATAATGCAGCAAGTAGAGCAGCACACGACAAGCTGTGAATAAGACTTACCGAAAGATTGTAAGCAAAGACAATTCCTACATGAGATATAACGTGAGACTGCGAACAGAGAAACACCGAAGACTGCACCTATTGCAGATGCAGCGACAACAGAAGATAATAGTCTGCAGCTTCTGCATGCACACAAAACTGTCACTCCCAGCACCTCGCTACGTTTTACCCAGTAGCATTTCCTAAGGATGTTCCACACCACGTGCAGGGGAGTTCTCCCACATCACAGATGTGGAGAGCACAGGTAACGAACACATATGCACAGGCAGACTCCACATGTGCTCAAACAGACACACATATAACTAACGTCCGTATCTACAAAACAGACACACATGGACAGACCCAGTTATGAGTCAAAGTTCCAAGTCCGACCTCCCAGTCCCAATCCGAGTCCCAAGTCCCAAGCCATCATCCGAGTCCGTAAACAGTGTCCCTAGTGCGATTCCCATCCGCGAGTATATGTGCTCACGTTAACAGGAATTACGTGCTTCATTTTTCTCTTTTAAGATGCGCACACAAGCAGTACCAAGCAGAACGAGAAAGACAGCACCACACACAAGCACATACACACGACCAGGGTTGTCGAACCCCGGCCCCGGGACCCCGCTGGGGTTCCGGGGTTCCGGGGGTCGGCACCCGGGACCCTGGCCCCCTGTAGGGGAAAAAAAAAAAAAAAAAAAAAAAAAAAAAAAAAAAAAAAAAAAAAAAAAAAAAACAGAGGGGGGTGCGCACCGCCGGCGTGCAGCCCCTAGCATTTTTTTTGTCCTGCAAAAAATGCCCCGACACGGGGTCCCCCCCGGGGGCGCGGACCTCCCTATGCGGGAGCGGGGTTGCCGCAGCGCGGGGTTGCCGCAGCGCGGGAGCGGGGTTGCGGAGCCGGTGGTGCGGTGGCGGGGGTACCCTGCGGGGCCTGTCTCTTATACACATCTAGATGTGTATAAGAGACAGCATTTAACCTTCACACAGACCTTTGACCCGGGAA